CGCAGAGGCGGGGCTGCCGGGGGGCGCGCCGCGCGGCGGAGAGCAGACACGTCGGCCCCCTGCCAGTGTCCGGGCGGGGCCGGTCGAGCTGTGTTTGGGGGCCTCCCTGCAGACATGCCTGGGCCCTGCCGCACGCCCCGGGAGCTGGCCATAGTGCTGACAGGGCGCAGCAGCAGGCGGGAGAGAGGAGATGGCCGCGGTACTGAGCCGGCCAGTCTGTGCGCGCCCGGGCGAAGGCACCAGCTGCGTGCGCTTGGGTCACTAGCCACGGCTCCGTGCCTGACCCTGGCCCGTTGGGAGAGCCCTGTTCGCGGCTGGAACCTGGGACTGGAGCCCTCTGGCTCCGCAGCCATGCGTTGGGGGCCTGGGCTCAAGGGCTCCTTGCAGCATGAACACATGCTAAGGGGTGGGAACCGGGCCCCAAGGTTCCTCTCTCTTTCAAAGCCCTGAAATCCCAACCCCAGAGTGATCCCGCCAGAATTTGGGCAGCGCCTCACCGCCTGCTCCCTGCAATGACCTCGGCCGGCTGGGCTGGGGTGACTCAGCCTCCCTGGCCAACGCGCCTTAGGAGAAGCCGTTTGAAATGGTCCTTTGATGGAGCCCCTTGGCCCCTCCCTAATTAGGAGAACAATGGCCTGCTCTTGGCTATAAGGGCCCGAGCAGCCGGGGAGCAGAGCGCAGCGGACACACCAAGAAGGAAGATGGACTCTGCCCCCGAGCTGCAGGAAGCCTTTTCAGCCATGACTCCAGAGCTATGGGAACTCATCCCACTCGCGCTGGACCGAGCGCATCTCAACAGCTATAGGGACTGGGCTGCAAGCCAGCCTCTCTCTGCGGGGCCCGCTAACTCCAGGCATGGCCCGGGGGCTGGAGCAGAGCCAGGCCTGGCGGATTCAGGTGAGCGATTCCGGGGCTGGTTGTCAGGGTTGGAGCTGGGGCTAAGGAGGTCTTCTTCAGGGCTGCTCTGGCCGCGTCGCGCCACAGGCTATGCTGTAACTCTGCCAGAGCCAGACTCTCTATGACGCGTCTCCCACCACTTCCCCCTGCAACTTCCTTCCTGGGGCAGTCTGTGGGCGATTCCTCCTCCCTGCCCTACCTGCTCAAGCCCCCTAGGCCGTGTCTCCGCCTCCATGGGGTTTTCACCTTCCTCTGACTCTTCCCTTTGTATCTACAGCAGGGATGGATGCCATGGCTTTGCCCCCATTCCCGACCACGGCTGCTGGCCCCCGAGCGGTATCTGTTGCCCCCGACAGGGATCATCCCCACACTCAGGGGGGAGGGCAGCAGGGGAGAAAGAAGAGGAAGAGGAACTTGTACAGCTGCAATCAGCTGCGCATCCTGGAGTCCTTTTTCCAGCGGAAGAAATACCCCAACCTGCCTGAGGCTGAAATGCTCTCAGGGCTGACGGGGCTCACCTACCAACAGGTACGTCCAGCCCCGCACTCTCGGGCTCTGCTTTCCTCTCTCTGCGGCAGGGACAGTTTGCACGTGGGGTTCCTCCAGCCAGGACACAGTGCGGAGCCGAGGCCGAGCGCGGGGGCCGTGCTGGGCTCTCAGGGAGGTGCAGACGCTGGGGCTGGGCGGACAGTCACTGGGACCTGGAGGGAGCAGGGGAAAAGGTCTGGCGGGACAGAGGATATTTCATGCGCGGGGACAGCGGCGAGGGATCCTTCCTTCTGTGCTGGCCTCCCGTTACCCATCCAGGGTCATCGCCATCTGCAGTGGTACCCGGGCCTCTGCCCTTCTTCCCAGGGCCTGGGGGCGGGCGGGAACTGGGCCCTTCACAGCCCCCCAGGAGGAGGGCAGAAGGGACGGACATCGCGGGGTCCCTGAGGTTCCTTCTCCTTCAGCCCCTCTTCTCCCCCCTTCCAGATCCGCGTCTGGTTCCAGAACAGGCGAGGGAAGCACCGGAGACTTTACGCTGGAGACAGGACCCCTGGGAGCAGCCTCTCCGCCCTGCAGGTGAGACCCCCCCCCCACACTCACGCTCAGCGCCCCCCGCTCCGCGCACACACACGCACCCGCACCTGCCCTCCAGCAGGCAGGCGGGGCGCCCTGGCAGGGAGCGAGGGGAGATCCCCGGGTGTCTCGGCAGCGCTTTGCGGAGCCCAGCCCCGATGCCCAGCGTGGGGAGGCCGCGCAGGGCCAGTGAACGCGGTGCAGCTCGGCTGCTCGCCAGCGGCTGGGGCCTGGCTGTGGTGCGCGGGGAC